TGGGTGCGGCTATCAGGCTCCGACAACGACGGCTTCAACATTGCAGCTGCACGCGTCGGGCCCCTACCGCACAGACGACAAACAAGCAAGCGAGCAGAACTCTGGGCCCTCCTAGACTGCCTACGCCACACCACTGGACCACTACACTACTGGGCGGACAGCGAACTCGTGTACAAAGGGATGGCGCGACAGGCGGTATCGGAACAAAGCTACAGCCGACACCGACGACGACCTCTGGGAACTCATCGGGGACGAGCTCAATCGCCGCGACGACCCGGGGCCATCACACATAGCAATCCACAACCTCAACAGCCACCTCACTTGGGAGGAAGCACAAGCACGAAGGTTTCCCATCCACGCGTGGTACGGCAACAGCCAGGTGGAACAGCCGGCAGATAAAGCAGCCCACGAACCCGACATCGGCGACGCCCAAGTGTCATGCTACGACTGGGTCAACGCTACGGCAGCACTTGTACGACGCCGCATCGCCGCCGCCACAGTCGACGCCATAGACCGAAGCCCAACAGAGGACCACGAAGTTCGAGCAGCACGAAGAGCCCAGTTGAAACAAAGGGCGCAGCGAAGACGCCGACGGGACTACTTTGCCGACGAACCACCACAGCCAGACGGACGACGCCCACTCACCACCCACGACCTGACGAGGCCACGACGTGGGAAAGGATGGGTATGCAAGTGCTGCACACAACGAGTCGAAGGAGTAAAAACGTGGTTCCAACAGGGCTGCGCTGGACCACCACCGAGCAAAGGACACTCCATCACTCAGCACGGCCACACTGCACACCACAGCCGCCCACTCATCTTCGTACGAGCAGAGGCACGCTGGGTTTGCAGGCAATGTGGCGCCACCACTACGGAGTATATCTCGGAGAAAATGCGTACAGACTGCAAAGGACGCCCTGGGTACAACAGCCTCAGATACAAGCTTCAACGTTGGCTCGAGATCGCTGCACATGAGTCCAGCACCCACAACCAACCCGATGGCAGCGACGGACACAGCACTGGCATGCCCAGCGACGACGCCCAGCCCGAGATACGCACAGAAGGACAGCAACCAGTACAGCAGCACGACGACATTGAGCACCAGCAGCAGCACGACGTTGCGTCCAGCACCAGCACCAGCAGCACTCCCAGGACACAACATGCTGCGAACATCGGCGTGGAGGGGGAGGACGAGCACTCCCTGCGTCCACATGCGGGGACAGTTGGGGAAGTCAGCGAGGAGATGCATTTGAAGGCCCTCGCCCGCGGAACCTGACTGCCCCAACCCAACAAGACGAGCCACGCAACCGATGCAGTGCCGACGCGGAGAGGGACGAGACCCCAGCACCACCTCTAGCCCCAGCGACAGCAGAGGAAAGCGACGAGAAGCGGAGAAGGAGATGGGTGCAACGACTCCTCAGCGCGGCGACCAGCCAGCAACACAACGGAGAGCAGCAGCACAACGTCGACAAGCGCGACGTGCAGCACCCACGGCAGCAGCGCCACCGCGACCAGCACGTCGACGACAGCACCACCGTGACCAGCACGCCGAGCAGTGGGCCTGGCCTGGACGAAGCAACCACTGCCCACCTTCCCTGGAAGGCATGTCGTGCAGGGTGCCTGCGAACCAAACCGTGGCGTCGAGGGGTGGGTGGCGGCATCGGTCGGTAGATGGCACTCCTCTGGTCACGGCTCCGCACTTCTGGAGACGCGGCTGACCCCAAGGAGGAAGAGGAGGAGGAAGAGGAGGAAAAGTAGGAGGAAGAGGAGGAAAAGGAGGAGGAGGAGGAGGAGGAGGAGGAGGAGGCACTTGCGCGCTGGGGGCGCTGCACGGGGCGCTGAGGATCTTCGGGGGTGCACCGCGGCCATCGCGGAGGGCGCGCTCGGCCCCGCGGCTCCCCGCGCCTCCGCACGACGCGCGCGGAGAGGCGCGCGGCCCCCGGGAGCGCGGCCCACGCGAGCCGCGGCCCGCGCGCGGCCCGCGCGGCACGGCCGCGGGGCGGCCGCGGCCCGCGCGGGGCGGCCGGGCCGCGGAGAGACGGAGGAAGCCATCGCGGCTTGGGGGGAAGCTCTGGGAACCTCCCCCTGCTCCCTCCCTCCTCTCTCCTCCTCCTCCTCCTCCTCCTCCTCCTCCTCCTCCTCCTCCTCCCTCCTCCTCCCCTCCTCCTCCTCCTCCCCTCCCCCTCCTCCCCCTCCTCCTCCTCCTCCTCCTCCCTCCCTCCTCCTCCTCCTCCTCCCTCCTCCCTCCTCCTCCCTCCTCCTCCTCCTCCCATCCTCCTCCTCCTCTCCTCCTCCTCCTCCTCCTCCTCCTCCTCCTCCTCCTCCTCCTCCTCCCTCCTCCTCCTCCTCCTCCTCCTCCTCCTCCTCCTCCTCCTCCTCCTCCTCCTCCTCCTCCTCCTCCTCCTCCTCCTCTCCTCCCTCCTCCTCCTCCTCCTCCTCCCTCCTCCTCCTCCTCCTCCTCCTCCTCCCTCCTCCTCCTCCTCCTCCTCCTCCTCCTCCTCCTCCTCTCGCTCTCAGGGGCCACGGCCGCCCGAGGAGGACGGCCATCTCTGGTCGCGTGGGGACCGGCCGGGCAGAGGCCGCGGCACCCTCGGGGTCCCGGCGTGGCAGAGCGGCCGCGCCAGGCTCTGCCGCGGCAGCTCGCGCGAGCCCGCCTTCTCTCCAGCTTAGTGGGCCCTGGAAGCGTTTTCGGAAAAGTGCCTCTTGAAAATAAGGGGAAAACAAACCTACCTCGCTTTTGACCACCCTCGCTTCCAAGAGATACCAAACGATGCCAAATTGCAGCCTGTACTGGTCAGGCCGCTTGACGAGGAGGCGCGTGGTATGACTTGGTTTTGCCTGGAAGCGAAAGCGGGGTAGGTATTTCACGCTCTGAGAAAATGAAAACGGTAAAAAAAAAACGGCGACCGAAAACGGCAACAAAAACGGCAATGGAAACGATGAAACAACGGCACCGAAAACGGCATCCGACGAGGGCGGAAACGGCAAGAGAACGGCGGCCCGAAACGGCAACAAAAACGGAAATTGGTGGTATGATTTGCTTTTGCAGCTGCGCCATCCCCCCAACCTGGTTCATCTGCCCCGCCCCTCCTCACACGGCCGACTTACCAATGGGGGCCCACTAATGGAGCCCAACCGCGGATGCGTGCTGGCCCTCCTCCCCAGACCCCTGGCGTCACGATCTCGTCTCAGCGTCGACCCCCAGAGGTCCCGACCGTTCCCCGGGACCCGCGTCTCATCCTGAATGGTGTTTGACGGCCACGGGGCCCGGTGAGGGCTCTGGGAGCCCCAGAGTTGCCAAAAGGCGTGCGTCGTGTTCGTTGTTGTCCACGACCCGAGGGGATCTGGACCTCCTCCACATCCTCCTCCTCCACTTTTTTCCTTATACGTAGCCATCTCTGTCGCACCCCGAGAAGTGTCAGTAGTGCGGCGGGCATTTCGCCTGAGACTTCTTCACCATGTACGATCCTGGGGCTCAACATTTGCAACACCTTCACAGATGGAAGGCAGGCCGTTTTCAAGATGTGGCTCTCGCTTTAGCGCCGCGAACATTCGTCTTCAAACATGGAAAAAAGTTCTACGGATGGAGATCGGGCGGTTTTCAACATGATGTTCTCGCATTAGCGCCGCCCGCATTAGTTTTGAACATGGAAAAGAGCTTCACGGGTGGATGCCAGCACCTCTTCAAAATGTGAGTATCGCCTTGGCGCCGCGCACATTCGTCTGAAGAGTTTACAGCAGTACCGAGGACTCTTATGGCTGACGTCCCAGAAATTATGTGTTGGCAGGATGTAGCACTGTCAGGGCGCAACACTTACGTTGATTCGCGGTGTTCAAATGCCAGGAACGGCGATTTCGCACGATGCAGGATCGTCAAGACTCGCGGCGTTGAAGTCCCAGGAATGGTGCTCTGGCACGGCTTTGAAATTTCAAACGGTTGTCTTCCAACGGGGGACTTCTTTAAGTGAGAAGAAAACGTTGTAGGGACCTTTGAATAGAGAGAACGTGCCTCGCTTATCTCAGGGGCATGGGTTAGGGGCGGACCAGCTCAGGGGGTGAAACATCGAGCTCATTGAATCGGCAACACATCGCCGACAGATCGGCGATAGGCCCCCGATAGAGAATAGATCGGCGATAGGGCCCCGATAAGGAATCTGAACGGACCTGTGCGGGATGGGCTATCGGGCAACCATCGGCGATGAATTGGCGATGGGAGGTCGATCCATCCCCTCCTGAGCCATTCCCCAGCACGTGCCCCTGACCTCCTCCTCACCGCTCATCGGCGCCGCTCCTGCCCCAGGCGACGGGCGGGAAAAGACTCACAAGAAACGGCGCGACCGACTCTGGATCGTCAGCGGCGTTTAACGCTAATCGCGGGCGGCGGAGTCGCCGCCGCTCGACACGACGCGAACCTGCCGAACGCCGTCTCTTGTTCCTCGAGGGAGGGGTCGCAGGAGGGCGTCCGCCCAACACGGCGCCCGAGGCCGCAAGGGAGGCACAACCTCCCGCACGACGCCCGCACTCCCAGCAGGACCGTGGAAGAGCAGAGCCGCGGCGCAGCGCAGCGGGATAAACATAAGTCGACGGAGGTTTGCGCGGACTTCTCAGATCTGGGCTGGATCGCCCCCATCCCCCCCTGACGCGCGGGGCACGCCAGGGGCGGTGCCCGAGGCGCCGCCAGGGCGGGTCTCGCGAAGCAAAGCAGGCCCGGCCGGGCAACTACCAGAGCCGCTCGCCCCATTGATGGGGACGGAGCGTCAAGATAGTGAGACAGAACGCATACCCATGCAGATCAGAAAACACCGTCGCAGACACTGCTCGGCGCGCGTGCCGCGCGAATTGCTGATGCCTGCGCTCTCATTGGATCGCTCGAGACAAGAAATCCAGCACAGATCCAAGGAATCCGCGCGGCTCTCCGAAAGTCATGTAACGCCTCTATTATTCGACTATCCTGGCAAATACCATGAGATGGTCAGTCGGCGCACCCAGGGGAGAGGAGATCATAAGCTTCCGTTCACTGTGTCCGACCAGCACTTCATCCAGCTGTCGACGTCTTTGTGCTCGTGAAAGGCAGCGAATGTGTGGTCCCAGCAGGCACCCCCCATGCAGCGGTCGTCGCCGACGAGCACGAAGTCGTCCATCGTTTCCGCGTTCAATCCCTGCAAGCACTTCGACAAATAAAGGTCCTTCTGCTGAGCTGGGCGGGAATCAATGCGCTGTTCCAGCTTAGACCAATTACGACAACAGACGGACGAGCAACGAGGATAGCGCTTACAGCAGCGTGAAAGTGCAGCGGCAGCACGCAACACTCAGCGTTATGCATATTATATAAAGAAATCAACGGCAAAGTATTCCGAATGCGCCCGTGGCCACTGCACACTAGCAACATCTGACCCTCGTCATGCCTCCCCTTCATCCTCCTCCTCCGCTCGCCTCTTCTCCTTCACGATTTAACATGTTATTAACCCTGCCTCTCTCCTCACCTTGCTTCTTTTCATCATCGTTCTCATTACGGTTAGATTGTTGAGTAGTGTGCCCTGACAAAGTCTGAAGATACGGATAAGGATCAGGATGATGAGCGCTTGTTTCAGATCCTCGCCCAAGATGGCGACCCAAAGCTCAAGGCAAAATGCCCGGAGGAAGATGCGTACAACGATCGCGCCCAACCCCAAACGATCATGATCAGATTGAACGCATCACGCCGGCCACTCATCGGTGCGGGGCGGTCGGCGTGCGCACAGTGGCGGCCCGTGGACACGCCCAATGCCGCGAGCACGAGCTGTGGGGACAAAGAGGTACCGATACCGCTACGTCACGGACCTCGCCCGCGGCGCACCCCGACCAGCACCTCAAGGAGAACCCGGCCCTGGCGACGGGGGCTCAGCGGTGTCAGTGCCGCTTCCTCCGAGGAAGTGCGTGGGCGCGCCCTCTCCCAGAAATCCGGCGTCGCGCTCGTGCCACGGCGTGGCTCCCCAGACGAGATGCGCGGAGCGCTGTGATCTTCCGCGCCCCCGCGGGTGGCATGCGCAGCCACCGCCTGCCGAGGCACCCCAGGGATCGATACCCCCAAGAGGCGGTCCAGGTCGCGCCCGCCCGCCTCGGACGGGCGCGCGTTCCGCCTGGGGCGCGTCCCAAGACGGCCTCTCGAAGCGCTCTGATCTTCGCGCCCCCGCGGGTGACCTACAGTGGGGGCTCGGCCACAGGAAACCTCCGCAAGAAACCCAACCCTGAACTCCGCGATTTGTCCAGCGAGAATCCACCTTCGCCGATCGAGAATCGTCAAGATCTTGTTGGGGGCCTCTCGAAATCCAGGAAACCCAGGGCACCCCGGCAGAGTCCAGCTGGTTTCTTGGCACGCGCCCACACTGCACGCGCTCACCGCCTGCCGAGGCCCCCAGAGATCCATCCCCCCTGGGCGGTGGTTCTGGTCGAGCCCCCGCCTCGGGCGCGAATTCGCGGGGGGGCAAAGAGCGGGGGGGGGAGAAGACAGGTGCCCTCCTCGGGCCCGGAAGGCCCCCCTTTCGGGGCCCTCAGGGGCGCCTTTTCTGCAGCCCTCGCCGACCCCCCCCCTACTGCGGGATGACGATGAGTATGAAAAAATGGAGAGAACGATTTAAAAACATAATTTTCTGTTATTTCTGCCTAATTTTCTGACTCGAGGAGAACGATAAAAAAGTGTTCCAGCCCGCGGCCGGTTTTTTCTGATCGCCATCCCGGGCGCCGCCGCGTGAACACGACCCCCGGTCATTTATTAATCGTCATCCTCCAAGATTGATCGCCCCCCATCAATTCGCGCCCAACCGCCTCGGATGCGGGCAATACTTATATCCATATCCAGAGCGTCTTGGACTGTTGGGGAAGGGGTGCCGTAAGGCCGAGTCGCACTGGATACGGATAAAAATCGAGCCTTTAGGGGCCAGATGTTTATCCATATCCAGTGCGCCTCCAGTTTCTGAGGAAGGGAGCCCAAAACTCCAAGACTCACTGAATGTGGATATAACTGTTGCCCGCATCGGATAGGCGCGCTTTCCGCTCGCCCAGGCGTGTCCCAGGACGGCCCCTGGAGCCACGGAGAAGGGCCACAGGCGGCGCGCGGGTGGCCACGGAGCTTCCCACGGGGGAGCCCAGCAGGGCACCCACTGGCCATCGCTCGGACGTCCCTTCCCTGTGTTTTTTGTCGGTTTCGTGCGTGGCTTTTTCGCCAAATGAGCAAGGATGCTCCTCGATGGTCCTCGCCGAAGGAAAAATGCACACGTCCGAGCGACGCCAAGCCCAAGGGGGCTTCAGGATTGACCGACATGACCAGGGAGAGCTGCACGTCGGCCGCAGACGCCTCCCAGAGGGTGCCAAGACGGCCCCCCAAAAAATCGCAAAGAGCCTAAGCCACCAGAAGAGGACCAGCAGTGCCCCGAGTTAGCCTGCGGACAGCCTAGAAAAGCCGAAAGAGGGGCCACCATTATCGCTCTCTTCTTGTCTTCGCGAAGGAGAGATTCGTGTGTATGTGTATTGAGATTCCCCCCTCCGCTTTCTTCGGTCTGCACGATCTCCCACCTGAGGTACGGAACACTGCTGCGAGCGAGAGAAATCTCCGCTCCCAGCCGGTTGGGTCTGAGTGCTGGTAGCCACAACGATAGCCCTGATACCACCCTCCGCAGATGCCGGCACGCTCAGCATCGCAACCATAACGCAGTGCAAGACCACAGGCTACCCGAACGAACCACTCACGAACGGGCGAATCAGAAGGGGCATGCGTGTGACTCGAGCCGAGTGAACACCAGCATCCTCCAACATATACACCAAATCCTGCAACTCCTCTGCCTCCCCCCCATCTTGGGGAGACACAAAGTCGCTCTTGCGCCTAGTCGATACGGGGGAAGGGTGGCGGTACCGGTACATCTTCCTCACGTGGGCATCATCCTGCTCCTCCTCTGCCTCCTCCCTTCTCCCGCTCTGCCCGTCGTCCTCCCCGTAAGACCACACGGGCATCCAATTTCGGCACTGCTCGCCGTCCGCGAAGAACGTCTGGAGCGCCTGGCGCCGTGAGCCACGGGGTCCCCCCGAGGAAAACGGCTCCCCCAACGCAGCCAGACAGCCTCCGATCTCCCTCAGGAGGAGGACTGGACGCTCATAGAAAAGGCCAAGAGAGAGAGAGAAAGAGAGGCTAGAAATCCAGGCCTCGAAAAACAGGCTTCGGAAGCCCCCAGGCGCGCCCCCATCGGAGGATAACGCTTTGTCACCCTGGCTGGGAGCGGCATCCAGCCAAGGGCTGACGACGAGGGGCGCGCCTTTGAAAAACTCAGCCTTCATCTTCGGACTCGAGCTGCTGAGAGACCCGACCCGCTCGGCCAGGACGGGGGGGGAGGAGGAGGAGGAGGAGGAGGAGGAGGAGGAGGAGGAGGAGGAGGAGGAGGAGGAGGAGGAAGAGGAGGAGGAAGAGGAGGAGGAGGAGGAGAAGGAGGAGGAGGAGGAGCGAGTAGAGAGCGCATGAGAAGCAGGCGAATCACTAGCGATGTGACGTGGCTGGAGCACGGCCGACGGGTGGACACGGATGCTTGCCCTTCAGCTCGGGCAAGGTGCCATCGTCCAGGCGACGGCACTGGATACACAGAATCTTTGAGAGTCTCACCCGTCTTCGAGTGGCAGCCACGTCCAGCGGTACCGATCGCTCTGAGATGATTCTCGCGGGCCGCCCTGACTTTACTCGGGCCCTTTGCGGGGCGCCGTCAAGTCGCGGCACTGCCCCGATGAAAGAATGAGAAAACACGCGCAGGCGTTGGAGCCCCCCCCAGCAAGCGCACAAAGGGCGTTCGAACGATTTCGACACGCGCGCGCCACAGGTCCGTTTAATCGCATGTGATGGAAATGCTGAAGAACGCATGGCGTACGTAAGAAGGCGCAAGAACGCGCGCGCAGACTAAGGGGTGCGAGTCTGACGCCTGGGCCCCGGCATTCCTGGCAGAAGGCTGAGGCTCGCCACGCCTGGGTGGGGCTGGGCTCACACCTGCTGTTAGCACCTGTTCGCAAACCTCTTCAAGCTTGCTGGGCCGTCGCGCGCTACGTCGCACGCATCGTCACTCGGGCCCGTCAGTGGAAGCATGCAAACCATGCCCGGTGAACGACACCCGAGGCATCTGGCCGCTGTCCCTGCAGGCTGGGGCGGGTCAGAGGTGGCCTCAGCCATGATGCTTGCAGTGTGAACTGTTCTGGGCAGAAATCCCAAGACTCCTCGCGATGATCAAGCAGGGCTCGCTTGGCTTGACCGTCACTTCTGCGGCCTGGTACGCGGCGGCGCCCAGCCGAGCGAAGAGGTCAGCCCGCGCGCCGTCAGCGTGTTCAACTTCCGCGAGGGCCAGAGGGGGCCACCTTCGAGCTAGCGGTGGACATGGACCCGGGCAGAGCCGGAAAGACCGCCGGGCTCCTGCTGACAGCGCGAACCGATCGCGCCACGGATCGGGGCACTTCAGGGTCCCGTCACGGTTCCGCGTGGGGAACAGCGAGATGACTGCTACATGTATCCACGCCGTGGGGAGCAAGCTTCATGGCCTTGCAGGCCAGCGAAGCGCTCCGAGCGCGGCACCATAAGAACGAAGCGCCAAAACGAGGCCCGAAGGGGGCACCCGAGGGGCATCGCCTCGACCACGGCCCAGCCACACTTTGGTAACCCACAGTGCGCACCCGCGAGCCCTAAGACGGCAGAGAAGACGCGCGTCCCCCAATCCCGACTGCCTGCGCCCGTTGGAGCACACCGGGAGGCGGGGGTGGGACCGCCGAGGCTACGAAAACGGGAGGCCGCGAGCCAGCTCGAGCGCACCCCCATCAGCCGTGAGTCCGATAAGCCCCGGGATCCCGAAAATGCCAGCTGCGCTCCCAATGCTGACTACCTACCAGACCACCCCAACCCAACCCGAAGACCCGAATTTCGGGTTGGGGGGGGTAAGGGTTCCACGCGTGTTTTTTCGATGTTCCCAACTGGAAATCGACGGTAAATTTGAGCCTTCGGGTTGGGTTGGGGTGGTTTGGTGGGTGGTGAAATGCGTCACCAGCCAATAGCTGGATGTGGAAGTCGTGCGGAGGGCCAAAGTAAGCAGGGCAGCCGCACAACTGCTGCCCGGCGGTGCTCGACGGCGCAGACATCCCAAGCTGGCTACGCCCTGCGAGCGCCAGCGTGCGTGCGCTTAATTAGGCGACCCGCACGCGGAGCCCGACACACGACTCGAGCACGCCCGTGTCGCACAGTAGCTCGCATCGTGAAATCCGAGCGCCTCACAGCGGGCCGCACGCGCGAGCCGCTCGTGGCCGAAGGCCTCAGAGATGTGGACGGCTCCCTCCTGCAGACGCATACGGTCGAGGCGTTGACCTAAGGAACCCCAAATAAGGAACGAGGCCCCACTTTTCCATGAGTTAAACTTCGATTTCCTCCGGAAAAAAGCCTCGTGAAAAAACCCGAGGCAAACTGCGAAACACTTAGGAAACGCGGAGCCCCTCCCCAACGAAAAGGGTTCCTTCTTCAGGGCCCCGACTGTAATGCGCTCCAGCGGCGGCATGGCCGCGAGCGGCCCCGCCAATGCCGAGGTCCGCGGCATCCGAGCCTGCAGCGGGCCCGCGGCATCGAGCACCCGGTCGCGCACGCGCCGTGGGGCCCGGGCGGTCCACCATGCCGCGAGCCGCGCGCGAGTTCGAGCGCCCGCGACGGCTTCAGATGCCGACCTCGGTCGGGCGAGGGGGTCGCGCGCGAGACGCCGCCGACCGCGGCCCCGCGAGCTGCCGCGGGCAGCGGGCCTGTCCGCAGGCGCCTGCCGACCTGGTTTTTTTAAGTCGGGCTGGTCCCTCTACAGGGGAGAATATTCAAAAATAGTCAAAAATAGTATGGGGACTATTTTTTGATTATTTTTGAACATTTTGGAATATCTAGAGTACTTTTTTATCTTATTATTTTTCGTCGCAAATTCCCCGGTAGGGGGACACGCCCGCCTTAATCCTAGTTCTTGGCCCCTCGGACGGGGGCCCCGAGCGCGACGCGCTCGGCCAGCGGCGCAACCCGTCGGCGGCGCCCCTGATCTCGCCGAGCTCGCCCCCAGGAAGCTCGCGCCCCCTGCCGCGCGCGCATGTCGGGTCGGGCGAAAGGGGGGGATAGCAAAGGGGGGGTTTGAGAATCAGCTCACGTAGCTGATTTTCCGGCGCCTCCCGGCGCTGGAGGCGGGTATGTATCGAGGAATGGTCCCCTCGGTGAGGCCGAAACCAGCTGCATGCAGCAAATTTCGTAACCCCCCCTTTCCCAATCCCCCCCCTTTCGTCCGGCCCGAGCATGGAGGTCTCGCCGCGCGAGCTCCTCGCGAGGGCACTCGCGCCACGACGCGGGCGATGCGGGGTCGCCACGCGCCCCCGCTGGAGGAGTTCGGGGCGACGAGGCCGAAGCTGGGCGTCTGCAGCGTCAGCCACAGCGCCGCCGAGAGCAAAATGGACGAACCCTCGGCGCTGGCAAAAAGAATACGGCGGCGATAATGACCCCAAGCCTCGATGATCTCGGAGGGGGGGGGAGGGGGCTTGCTATAGGCAAGTAAGAACCACAGAAGCCGCGGCGGAAAATGAGCGAGACGAGCCCGGCCCAGCATCCGTGGCAAAGCGACTAGCTCGACGGGGACGCTGACTGGCACCTCGTCACGAAGCTGGGCCACCTCCGACTGACATTTACGGGGCGGGCTGCATCGACCGAGTTCGCGTCAGGTTGGGCACCGCAGGAGGCTGCGCTTGGATTGGCTGCCTCCCGCTGCTAAATGCAGGACGGCGACGCCGACTTCGCACTCGGCCAAACACCGCCAAACACCTTACTCGCCATCGCTCGGACGCCCATTCCCAAGATGACCCAAAATGCTGCTCGATGGTCCCTGTCGACAAAAAGCACGCGTCCGAGCGATGCCACACTTCATAATTGCTACAGGCCGATGTAGTCCAGACTGCTTCGGCGGTCGCGCCAGCGCGGTCTGGCGGCGCGCGTCTGGCCTGCGGCGCAAGCGATCGCGCCCGCGGAAAACAAAAGCCACCGACTCCGACCCACAACGTCCGAGACTAACTGCAGGGCTCGGGGGCGGATGTCCACCTGGCCAAACGCCGCGCGCAGAGGAGAGGGCACCACAGGCTGCTCGAATATCGTGCGCCAACATGTATGGGAACTGGCCCCACTGGCCGAGGTCGCTCGACAGCTGCATCACCCTGGAATGGTGGGTGGACCGCGTCGTTGACCACGCGTCGAATCCATCGCTCGTCATCTGGCGTGTTCGCGGCCGGAGGAGGAGGAGGATGAGGAGGGGGAGGAGGAGGAGAAGGAGGGGGAGGGGGAGGAGGAGGAGGGGGAGGAGGAGGAGGAGGAGGAGGATGAGGAGGAGGAGGAGGAGGAGGAGCAGGAGGAGGAGGAGGAGGAGGAGGAGCAGGAGGAGGAGGAGGAGGAGGAGGAGGAGGAGGAGGAGGAGGGGGGGAGGGGGAGGAGGAGAAGGGTGCGATATGGGCATTCAGCCACCTCTTCTAGATTTGACATCTCGGCGACGCGGCGCGCCTGATGCGCTCCACCACAAGGAAGCCCGAGCCCGCTCTCTCCGCCCCTGCCTTGCAAAACCCGAGCACCAGGGCAACCTCGTCGATGCGTCCTTGCAGCAGGAGGTGGCCGCCGCATCGCTCCACGAACAGCGCTCGCATTCGTCCGGAAATTGGGCGACGCAGTTGCGTGAGACCCCGGGCGAAGAAGTCCTGGAGGTCCCGCGCGAGCATGGCTGGCGGCTGGGACTCGGGCTCGACGATCTCGGCGCCAGCGCGCGGGGCATTGCCGGGGCGGGAGACGCCGCGCGAGGTCAGCGCTCCGGCGCCAGCGCCCGCACCTTTGCGAGGCAAGCTGGCAAAAAGAAGCGCGCGACGAGGGACGCGGCCCGAAACGTCGCCCTGCTCGGTCTCCATCGCGCTTTGCGCTGGGCGGGCATGTGCCCTGCGGGGCATCTCGCAGGCCCGGGGCCGCCAGGGGATCGGGGCCTCGCGCGCCCTGACCCTTCCACCCCCGCGCGGGCGGCCCCGCGCGCCCCTGGCGCTGGCCCTGCGCCCTCCGGGCGGGTGCCACGACGCCGCGCCGATCGAGAAGCTCGCCCTCGAGACGCGACGACACGGCGCCCGGCGCCGCGGCGAGCTGCGCGGCGCCCTCGGCTGAGCAAACAAGCTGTCGCGCGGGGCGCCCCGCCGCCCCGCTCGCGCGCGCGGGGGAAGCGGGCGCGGCCAGGCGCGGCGCCACTCCGAGGGCGCGCGGTTGGACGGGCGCGCGGGCCCATGCCTCGCGCCCCCTCTGACGCGAGCAGGCAGGCGGGGGGCCCCCCGCTCCCATGCTGACCGCGGCCTCGCCCGCCTTGCCGCGCCAGGGGCGGGCGCGCGCGCGCGTGGTCGAGCGCGGCGCCAGGCTTGATGACGAGGCAGGCCTGGGCGTCAGGACTCACGACTATGCGGAATAGTGAGTCTTACCAGGGCCAAAGCAAGCCGATGCGCGTGCCCAAATCTCCAGCAGTGAATCACTCCCTTGCGCATTGGGCGCGGCGATGTAGGCAACGACCTCAGCAAAGATGACCAGGCTCGCGTCGTTGAGGCCAGCGCTGTCGATCAGGTAAAAATAAACGTCACCGCGGCCACGCCGCGCGTGCGCCAGCGAGCGCGGGCCGGCAGCAACGCGGGCCAGGGCCAGCGGGGCCCTCTGCGGGATCGGCACCACCTTTCCGCCGAACGCGCCTCGCTTGTCCGAGGACGGCGCTGGGGCCCATGCGCCAGCAAAGCCTGCGCAACCGGCAGTTTGCTGCACTTCCGAATGATGAACACATGGCGATCTCGAACACGACGCATGCGGCTGGCACGCTAATGCATTTCGAGCTGGTCCAGCATGGGCTCCTGCGAGGACACGCTAGCAGTCATCGCCTGGCTGACCTGCTGCCCCGACGTCCGGCGCGGCGCGCCCCCCGAAGTTGAGCCCGCATCGGGCGTCGCAGTCGCCACCGGGGATGGGCCACCACGTGCCGAAGAAATCTGAGCCGCCTGAACTGACGCCCACGTAGTAATAATGACAGCATGGCAGGGCACCTGCCCATCAGGTGGAAAGGATTACGCTGAACGTACTGTCCCAGGCGGAGGGCAGCCAGCCTGCAGGCCCCCCCAACCTGGTCGAGGGGCAGCAACTTGAAAGGTTGGAAACGAGCATCCCTCCGTCCCCAGCCTTTGCAGTGCTGGCACCGCGGAAAGCCGACAACGCGAGCGCCGACTTGATGAGAGGCATGGCCAGTTTAGCAGGTATGCATGTGCGCAAGTAGCTGGTCGAGAGGTGGCTACAGGTCCTAAGGATCGGCATCAACAAGACGGTCGACGTGAAAGTACGGCGAGGCGCATGACGCCCCCGTGGTTGCACGGCCGTCGGTAGCACAGCGGCGAACTGGATGGCTATCAGGAAGGCGAAGCCGAGCGCGCAGACGGCAGCGTCGTGCACCGCTTGGCGAGAGTGGCAGCTGCAGACGCCCACCGCTTGGTGGCAGCTCGCTTTGTTTTCTCCTCCCCTGTGAGCTCTCGGTCTCGGTCCGCGAAGCTACTATAAAAGCATTGGACGTTGTCCATGCCATGAGTGTCCACGGGCGCAACGTGGACCTAGGCGGCCCGCTGCTGTGCCTGGCACGGCATTCGATGGCCCGTCTGGCTGGCGAGCGGGAGGCGCTAGGGACTTGGCAGAACCCGCCACGGCCGCGAGCGCGCACAGAGCCTCGCAGGTGAGGCCGGTCGTGGCCCGCACCGATCGCCTTGAAGCCTGTTGCTCAGCGTGTCGGCGGGCAGGTCCAACGGGGGCACCAAGGTCTCGAGAGAGAACTCGCAAGCGCTGAACTTGGTGGCCTGAGCGGCCGCCTGCCAGCGCTGGTGGTGGAGGTCGGCGAGCACGGTTGCGAGCACCGTGTGCCGAGGCGTTCCTCGATTGCGGCCTGTTTCTTCTCCCGCACTGCGACCAGCTTGTCCTGCGTGTCCTTTTGCGTCACGGGGACCTCGATGTGAGTAGTGCAAAGGCGCACATGCGCAGCGTACGACTTCTTGTCGATGATACTTTCATTGCTCGAACCGCGATCTGCAACGAGCTGACGTTCGGCCTTGACGACCAGACGGGTCGACGCAGGAGCCGAGGATGCGCAGGGTGCTGGCGATCTTCGCCGTGCGCTTCCGGCTCTTGTCGTCAGGCTCTGGGCCGCGACCTGCGCTCGGCTGAGGAGCTCGGAGAGGTGCAATCTTCAAGTCCCCTCGCGGATGAGCTGGCCCCAGTACTGCTGGGCGGCAGCGCCGCGACGGGCGGAGACGGCCACCCTGCAGCGCTTGTTGGGCACTCCGAGCTGCCCGGCTCCCGCCCCAGGCAAAGGAGGGGGAGGGGGAGGAGGAGGAGAGGGAGGGGGAGGGGGAGGGGGAGGAGGAGGGGGAGGAGGAGGAGGAGGAGGAGGAGGAGGAGGAGGAGGAGGGAGGAGGAGGAGGAGGAGGAGGAGGAGGAGGAACGGGGAGGAGGGGAGGAGGAGGAGGAGGAGGAGGATTGAACTGGCTCGGTCGCTGCGGCGCCAGAGACAGTGCCCCAAGGGCGTCGGGCAGACCCACACGTGCTGCGGGCGGCGCTCCACTGGCCACGGCACGGCCGTAGGGGGCTCGCAGAGTGGTGCCGGATGACAGTGCAGCGGCAGTGCTCGGAGGGCCGATGGGTCGTGGTCGGGGCCGCTGCCCCCCAGTGCCAGAACTCTGGCCCTGAGCCTCTCGCCACGGAATTGAGCCAAATCGGCAGCGGGACACCAGGAGGAGTGTGAGGAGCAGGAGAGAGGAAGGAGGAGGAGGAGGAGGAGGAGGAGGAGAGAGTAGGAGAGAGGAGGAGGAGGGAGGAGGAGGAGGAGGAGGAGCAGGAGGAGCAGGAGCAGGAGGAGGACGAGGACGAGGACGAGGACGAGGACGAGGACGAGGACGAGGACGAGGACGAGGAGGAGAAGGAGCAGGAGGACGAGGAGGAGGACGAGGAGGACGAGGAGGAGGAGGAGGAGGAGGAGGAGGAGGAGGAGGAGGAGGAGGAGGAGGAGGAGTTGAGAGGAGGAGTTGAGATAAAAGGGGGAAGAAGGAGCGATCCCCCAACAAATATTTGTGACTGCACCCAGGGCTCCTGGGCACTGGGGCTGTCCCCCGGGCCGGCTACTCATCCAGAGTGATGCCCCTCTTTGACAGTCCTGGTGTCTTGGACGGGCCCGCGGGGCCGAACACTGCGAGACGCCTCGGGGGCCCATGCGCGCAGGGCCCCGTTCCCCCTGGCGTCCGCCTGCGCGCCTTTTCCGGCCCGCGGCCCTAGGGAGCTCCCGACCACACCTGCGGAGGGAGTGTACCGTCCGGGATGCACGTCTGCTGGGCCCCAGGGCCCCCAGGCGACCCTGGAGGCCGGAACCGGGGAACAGGATCGAAGGAGAAGGAGAAGGAGGAGGAGAAGAAGAAGAAGAAGAAGGAGGAGGAGGAGAAGAAGAAAAAGAAGGAGGAGGAGGAGAAGGAGGAGGAGGCGGAGGAGGAGGAGGAGGAGGAGGAGGAGAAGAAGAAGAAAAGGAAGTCACGACGCTGGAGGGGTGTGGCCCAGACATGCCATGTCCTGACTGTTTCAATACGGGGTCCCTGGAAGTCCCGACCCGTTCCCCGGGACCGTACCGTCCTGGGGCCCGGCAAGGGCCCCCATGGAAGCCCCAAACGGCCCAAAGTCCTCCGTCCTGATTTTTCCTGGACGCGAGCATGTCTGGGAGGTGCCCCACGCGGCGAGCCTTCTTGGAGACCAGCTCCAGGGCGCCATACATCATCGGGTAGTCGGGGTTGCCCGGGGACAGGTTGCAGGTCCGGAAGAAGGCGCTCCGCTCCTCGACGGGGGGGCCGCCGCGTCTCCCCGCCCCTCGCCGTGGCAGCGGGGCCCTCTCTCCGAGGCCCCGCTGCGCCCCGCGCCTTCCTGCCTGCCTCCGCCCGCCCTCCGCGCGCCCACCTCGGCACCCCCCCCGCGCGCCTCGTGCCCCTTTTGGGGAGCTCCGCCCCCGGTGGCTCCGCGGGCGCGGCCGCAGGGCCTCGCCCTGGCACGGCCCCGCGCTCGCTCCGTGTGCCCCTTCTTGGGGAGCTCCACCTGCGGCCCCCGGTGGGCGCGGCCGCGTGGCACCGCCGCGCCCCCTGCCGCTGCACCCTTTGCGCGTTGCGTGACCCTTTCGGTGAGCTCCGCCGGATGACGGCCTCGACGGGCGCAGTCGTGGGACACCGCCCCGCCCCCGCGCCGTCGCACGCCTCGCCCCGGGGGAGCTCAGCCTGCGGCCCCAGAGGGCGCGGTCGTCGTGTGGCACCGCTCGTCCGTCTCGGCACACCCCTCCTACGCCTCGTGCCCCCCAAGGAGCCCCATCCAAGTCAGGCCTCGGTGGGCGCGGTCGCAGGACACGCCCGCCACCGCTCCCGCACACCCCTCGCACGTGTCGTGCCCCTTTTGGGGGAGCCTCACGTGCGGCCCCAGTGGGCGCAGTCGTGTGGCACCGCCGCTCCTACTGCGGCACACCCGTCACACGTTGTGCGTCCCTCAGGGAGCCCCACGTACGGCCCCAGCCAGATGCGGGGTCCGTTGGTCGGTTCCGTCCATTGCGGTGCAATCCTCATCAATGTGGCCCCGTAGTGAGCTCCACCTGCGGTCCCAGTGGGCGGCGCCGCCCATTTCGGCGCACCTCAAATGAGGACCGTGGCACCATGAGGAGGCTGCTCCACATACGGTCTCAACGGCAGGGCCCGCCTTGCGGCGCCGCAGATCGGGCACCCCTCACCAGGGTCGCGGCTCAATGTGGAACTCGACCTGCGGCCCCAGTGGGAAGGTCCGCATGGCTGCGCCGCCCAATTCCGCCCACACACACACAAGCACACACACATACAATCACACACTTCAAGACGATCGCACCCCCAGCGGGCTTCCAACTACGGTCGCAGTGGGAAAGTTTGCATGTGCGGTCCGCCCGTGCCATTACACCCCTCACACGAGCCCCACCTGCGGCCCCTGCCAGAAAATCTGCATGCGTTTCCCCGCGCATCTCGGCATACCCCTCTCACCGTTCGTTCCCCTCGGAGAGCACCACGTACGGCCTCGCCGAGAAAGTGTACATGCGTCGCCCACCCATGTCGGCGCATCCCTCACACGCATCGTGCATAGACAGCTTCATCATCAACGTTACATGGAGCTGCTAAGGCTTGGGCCCCTCGCCGAGCTGGTTGCTCTCTCCGGGGCGACCCCCTTCTGTGCCGACACGTCAGCTCCCAGCAGGACAGCAGGGGCAGACCCAGATTCCCGTGCGCCGTGCAGAAATATCGCATAACGTTGTGCAGTGCTTGCGGCCTCTTGGGTTATGAAGCCCCCCTCGTACTTGATGAGCACCCAGACTAGGATCGAAACAGTGCCTGCCCGACACGCCAGCGAAGTGTCGAAAGAGTACCGCCTCCCAGGGCCCGACACGTGAAAACTCTGCAGTTTCGGCACTGTCTTGGTGCTCGAGGTTTTCTCTTGCGGTCAAAGCTACAATAGGTTGACAAGTCATAACTCTCGGGGCCCTTACTAAGACCAGGACCGTCAAAAACAAACCGCTTGGGACGGAAAGCCGGTGCTGGGGAAGGTGTCGAGACCGCCTGGGGTCCAAGCTGTAGAAAACATCACGGCGTCGGGCATCTGGGGATGGCCAGGGAGGGAGTCCAGCAGGTGCCTGGATAGGGGCGATGTGCAGGAAAGGGTGGGCGGGAGGGGCTCGAAGTGTGCACCACGTCGTCTGGTCGTTCAATAACCTCAGTCTGCGCACGCCCCTGCATCCCATGCTCTCGGATAGTTACAGTACCGTCTCTACACCGACGTCCTTCGCTCAAACCCCTGGCTCCCAGGCCGACCAAACAACGTGGTGCATACATCAAGCCCCCCGAGGCCCTAGACTCCGTGCCGTCGAGCCACTTGGCCATGATGTGAACGCGCACGCGGTCGGGCACTATGACGGCGTCCGGGTCCATCTTGATTGTCCAGGAGTAGTGCTTCCACCTGGGCAACAGAGAAAAGGGGGGCCTTTGCCCGTGAGGGCACGAAGACCTCGCGCCGGGGCTCACGCAGGCCGCAACAGTGGCGGTCTACAGCAGCTTCGTGCCGTGCCGACTTCGGCGATGGCTCCTCACACCGCGGGGACCGTTCAACCTCGACGGATTCCGGGTCGCCGGCGGCGTTCCGCGCGGAACGGCGGCGGCGGGGTCGCCGCCGGCGGACACGGCGCGAGCCCACCTCGCACGTGGGGAAGGAGGAGCTCGCCCTTGACCCTCTCGAGGGTCCAGGGGGGGACGAAGAGGAAATGGAGGAGGAGGTGGAGGAGGAGGAGGAAGAGGAGGAGAGGGGCGAAGAGGAGGAGGAGGAGAGAGGAGGAGGGGAGGAGTGTGGCCAGGAGGAGGAGGGCCAGAGGATTTTTTTTCCCGCGGCGGCCTCCGGGGACAGCGGGGGGCGTGCTGCGGGGCCTCCGGGGGTCAGAATCGTCCTCTCCTCCTCCTCCTCCTCCTCCTCCTCCTCCTCCTCCCTCCTCCTGCTCCTCCTCTTCCTCCCCTCCTCCTCCTCCTCCTCCTCCTCCTCCTCCTCCCTCCTCCTTCTTCTCTCCTCCTCCTCCTCCTCCTCTCCTCCTCCGCCTCCTCCTCCTCCTCCGCCTCCGCCTCCTCCCTCCTCCTCCTCATCCTCCTCCTCCTCCTGCTCCTCCTCTCCTCCTCCCTCCTCCCTCCTCCTCCTCCTCCTCCTCCCCTCCCCTCCTCCTCCTCCTCCTGCCCTCTCCTCCTCCTCCTCCCCTCCTCCTCCTCCTCCTCCTCCTCCTCCTCCCCTCCCCCTCCTCCCCCTCCGGGGGGCGGCAGCAAAGCGCTTACAGCCGGAATTCTGCTCAAGAAGATGATGGTTTAAGACATCTGGGCCAACTTCGTGGAGGTTTCCGGAGGCAAGCCTGGGCCAAGCTCTGCCGTGAGCGCTGGAGGGACGGACGTGCTCAAGAAACTGGGCCAACTTCCTGGAGGTTTCCGAAGGCAAGCCTGGGCCAACTTCCTCGAGGTTTCAGAAGGCAAGCCTGGGCCAAGCTCTGCCATGAACGCTGGAGGGACGAAGGTGCTCAAGAAACTGGGCCAGCTCTCCAGCAAAATGGCCAAGAAACGTTGGCCCAACTTCTCGGGAGGAGGTTTCTTAACCAGACGCTCGATTGTAACTATTGCGCCAGCAGCAGTAAGCGCGGATGTCGGCGCAAACGGGTCCCTTTGAGCGTTGCTCACCTGTTCCTGGCATTTACCGCAGCCCATGCGTTCAGGAAGATCTCCGTGTTGGCCGCGAAGCCGTCCTGTCAAGGGTGCGCCATTTCTTAGAAGGCTTGCCTAGCGCGGTCATGCTGCAGTGACTCATCCTTCCCCCGCACTCCCCCTCCTCCTTAAGAGCTGGCCGCATCGGCGCGGAGCCGAACTCGAACGAGATCGGCCGCGCCAGGGTGCTCAACAATTCGAGGCTGGTGAGGAATGGACCCTTGGCACTGGCCATCGCTCGGACGCCCATTCCGTGTGTTTTTTTCGGTTTCGTGGGTGGTTTTTCCGCCAAATGCTCGAGGATGCTCCTCGGTGGTCCTCGCCGAAGGAAAAAATGCACAAGTCCGAGCGATGCCAAGCCCTTGGCAGGGGGTGGGCGAGCTCGGGCCTGCTCGGAATCGGCGCGCCCGCCCGAAGCGCTCCTCCCCAGTGGTGTGGCAGGAGTTCGGCGACGCTGCTGCCGGCGACCGAGGCTGGCGGCGCGAACCGGGGGGGGTAATGCGGGATGGCGATTGATTAAAACAAATGGGAGAGAACGATTAAAAAAAAAGTCTTATGCTATTTCTGCACCATTTTCTGACTGGAGGAGAACGATGAAAATAATAGCTGTCCAGCCCGCGGCCGGTTTTTTCTAATCGTCATCCCGGGCGCCGCCGCGTGAACACGATCCCCGGTCATGTATTAATCGTCATCCTCCATTAGGGGGGGGGGGAAGGCCTCGTAGGAGGAGGCCGCTCCTTAGAAGGCGCGGGCCCTACATCTACAGAAAGGCCCGCACCGTCTAAGAGCCAGGGGTGCTTCTGAGAAGCCTTTCCCATCCCCGTACCTCCCTGTGCGCATGGCCGTCGAGGTTCCGAAGAGCGAGGCCGCCCTCCGATGTGGGCGGGCCCCCGCTGCCCCCCGAGGCTCCGGGCCTGGTCCGACAGAGGGCCAGCCAGAGGGCCTCCTCCTGCCTCCTCGCCTGCTGCACCCCTCGCCTGAGCGAGCTGCGCGGGTGGCTCTGGCTTTCAGTCACGAGCCGCTCTCGTGAGAGGACGGTCGGCCCACAGCTGCAGTGCTTCCGTACCGATACTGGTGCCTGGCGATGGCTTTCACCGATGAGGAGGCGCCTCCATGTCGCCACGAGGGCACAGAGCCGCATCGGCCAGGACAACCCCGCCACGACGGCTTCTTTGTGGTCCCCCTCCCCCTCGCCGAATGAGCACCTATCGTTAGCAAGTAAGGCTGTTTTCCTTGCGCTGGCTTGTTCGCTCGGGCTGGATTAAGTGTCTACCCTCTCATCTCCACCCACTCCTTCGACCTGCCGACGTCGTGAGGCTCGCAGTACACGGTCGTCACATTCCGGCCCTTCGGAGTCAATCCCAACTGTTTGTCGGCCTCAATCGAGTAGACGTCGAAGTCGTCGCAGCCGAATATGCCAGCTCCCCGTGCCACCTGGCGAGAAAGGTTTCTCGACCATTTCCCTGGGGAAAGCTCTTCATCCTAAGTGGTTCTTGGACGGTCCCAGGGCCCAGTTCGGGACCCCATGGGTCGAACAACAAAACCGTCCGTCGTAACTTTTTCATTACACGAGGGAGTCTTGTGAGGGCGAGGGGTGAGATGGAAGGGTGGCAATTTACGTGCGCTTGCGCCTCGTCTAACATCCAACCTCTCCATCCCTTTCCTTGCCATTGCGCTGATGTTTTCTCTATCCGCGGACGCGTGTCATAGCGACCTGGAACTCCCCCCCGGAAAAAAAACATGGTGTTATGCTCAAGCGAGAAATGGGGAGCTGCGTGCACGGGAGGAGGTGGCGGGTGAGCGTGAGGATGAGCAGGAAGAAAAGGAGGAGGATGTGGAAGGAGGAGGACGAGGACGAACTGCAGCAGCAAGAACTGGAGTGGACGGAGCGGGAGGAGCAGCCAGACCAGGGGAAGGCGGAGGAGGGGAAACGAGGGGGCGATAACGATGAAGGACTCGGATTCCGAGAAATGGCCCGCGCTGGGGCGAGAGCGCAATTCTGAGCGGCGGGAGCAGCGCCGTGATCGTAAAGTGAGGCCCATGCTGCAGCGGGAGCACGATCCGGAAGCATCGAGCAAGTTCGGACTGGAAGAACACACCCGATCGACTAAATCTTTGGGATCCGGTGTGTGTGTGTGTGTGAACACAAGCATTACGCGGAGCGGGGTGCCTGCCCAGTCGGCGTCTTCGGGGGAGAGAGGAGCGTATGGTATTCATACTGCGTCCTTGTCAAAGCTTCGGGCGGCGCACAGGCAGCCCTCCTAGGTGGTCCCGAGTAGCCAAGGGGGCGGTCTCAACACACGGGCGCCGCCTCTGGCGGCGCCCTTGGGGCGCTCCGCGCCCCAGGGTTGGGGTGCTGAGACCGCCCTGGGCTGTTCGAGAGGCCAGTCGAGGCCAGCTGGGACCGCCGTTTGGGGGGTCCTGTTGAGGCCAGCTGGGGCTCTCATCCGGGGGGGGACCGTCTGTGCACAACCCAGAGCCCTGATTACCAATCTCCCCCTCCTCCTCCTCCTCCTCCGCCTCCGCCTCCTCCTCCTCCTCCTCCTCCTCCTCCTCCGCCTCCGCCTCCGCCTCCGCCTCCTCCTCCTCCGCGAAGGCCCCCTCCCTCTCGCTGCCCCCCTTCGCTTCGCCGCCGAGTAAGGAAACCACTGCATAAGGCACCCAGGGCCTGGAAGCAGGTGGAACTCAGGTCGTGAAGCGGCAATGGAATGAGGTCTTCTGAGAAGCCACGCCGCCCTCTGAGAAGGCCCCCTCCCTCTCGCTCCCCCCCCCCTCGCTCGCCGCCGACGAATAAGGAACCACTGCATAATTAAGGAACCCAGGGCCTGGAGGCAGGTGGAAAACTCCGGTCGTGAAGCGGCAGTGGAACGCCGGTCAGACGAGTAGTTACCCCCCCGAGGTCCGACGCCTCGTGGGCACGCCTCCTTAGCCAACGCCCCCACCTGTACACGTCGTTCATTTCTGCAGTAGGGGCGTTGACCTAAGGAACCCTAAACCAGGAACGAGGCCCCTTTTTCCCATCAGTTAAAGTTCGATTTCCCATCAAAGCCCTCAGCAAAACCAAAGGCGAACTGCAAAACCACGAAGGAACACCGAGCCCCTCCCCAACGAAAAGGGTTCCTTCCTCAGTGCCCCGACTGTAATCGTGCTCATTTCTGGCTGTGCTCGCTTCTAACTGTTCCTGGCCCCCTGGTGGCCAGGAAGAGGCCCAGGAGAGAAGAATTAGAAATGACAGGATCTTGGCCCGCAACAAAAATCAAAGACCTCTCGAAGAATTAGAAATGAACAGTGTGCAAACTTTCGGAGGTCCGTTCGGAGCGCTTCGATCGGCGCCGTGCCCCCCTCCTGACGCGCGGAGCGCGCCAGGAAGGGGGCGCCGGAGGCGACGTCAGGGGGCGCCCAGAAGCCGACCAACGGAATCCGCGCGGACCTCCGAGAAGTCAGAAGTGTGCAAATTGTATGTATCCCAGGTGAGCGGACACAGCGACCTCCTCCTCCTCCTCCTCCTCCTCCTCCTCCTCCGCCTCCTCTACCTCCTCCTCCTCCTCCTCCTCCTCCTCCTCCTCCTCCTCCTCCTCCTCCTCCTCCTCCTCCTCCTCCTCCTCCTCCCTCCTCCTCTCCTTCCTCCTCCTCCTCCTCCTCCTCCTCATCCTCCTCCTCCTCCTCCTCCTCCTCCTCCTCCTCCTCCTCCTCTCCTCTCTCTCCTCCCTCCTCCTCCTCCTCCTCCCCCCTCCTCTCCTCCTCCTCCTCCTCCTCCTCGCCTCCTCCTCCTCCTCCTCCTCCTCCTCCTCCTCCCGCGAGCGCGGCACACCGCGTGGAGGAGGGGGCGCTTCCGCGCGGCCTGCCGCGGGAAGCTTCGGCGCGAATGTCCGCGCATGTCGACCCCGGCTTCTTCCGCTGCTCAAATGGGCCACGTCCTCGGCGGCACCGACAGCGAGCTCTGCTCTCCTCCTCCTCCTCCTCCTCCTCCTCCTCCTCCTCCTCCTCCTCCTCCTCCTCCTCCTCCTCCTCCCCCTCCTCCTCCTCCTCCCTCCTCCTCCTCCTCCTCCTCCCCCTCCTCCTCCTCCTCGAATGGAGGGGTAACTACTTCCAGCCTTCTTAAATGGGAGCGTCACGGGGAGACCGGCTCGGGGAGGGAACCTCGGCCTGGAGCCGCCGATGCATCGGCGATGGGCCCCCCCGATGACCCATCCGCACGATCCCAGGAGGGGTGGGCCATCGGGCCCGTCGCCGATGAGTGGGCGATCCCCCTGACCCCATCCCCCCCTGACCCCATCCCCCCTGACCCCATCCCCCCTGACCCCATCCCCCCCGGACTTGCCCCCCTGACCCCATACCCCCCGAACTGACCCAGCCCATCCCCCCTGACCCCATCCCCCCCGAATGGGTCCATGCATCCCCCCTGGCCCCGTCCCCCCCGAGCTTGCCCCCTGGGCCTTCGAGTCACGGCTCGGCTCTCGGGCGGCCGCCGGGGGACGAGGCGGGCACGCCCAGCACGCTCTCGGCGAGGCGCCTCTGCTGGAGAGCACCCCGAGGCCGGAACGCCGCCGATCGCCAATGAAAACGCCCGAAACCATCGAACCACTGGAGGCCGGAACGCCGCCGATGGCCGATGAAGACGCCCGAAACCATCGAACCTGGAGGCTGGAACGCCGCAGCTAGCCGATGAAAAACGCCCGAAACCATCGAACCACTGGAGGCCGGAACACCGCCGATAGCCGACGAAAACGCCCGAAACCATCGAACCTGGAGGCCGGAACACCGCCGCTAGCCGATGAAGACGCCCGAAACCATCGAACCACTGGAGGCCAGAACGCCGCCGCTAGCCGATGAAGACGCCCGAAACCATCGAACCACTGGAGGCCGGAACGCCGCCGCTAGCCGATGAAGACGCCCGAAACCATCGAACCACTGAAGGCCGGAACGCCGCCGATGGCCGATGAAAACGCCCGAAACCATCGAACCACTGGAGGCCGAAGCACCGCCGCTAGCCGATGATAACGCCCGAAACCATCGAACCACTGAAGGCCAGAACACCGCCGCTAGCCGATGAAAACGCCCGAAACGATCGAAACACTGGAGGCCGGAACGCCGCCGATGGCCGAGGAAGACGCCCGAAACCATCGAACCACTGGAGGCTGGAGCGCCGCCGCTAGCCGATGAAAAACGCCCGAAACCATCGAACCTGGAGGCTGGAACGCCGCCGATGGCCGAGGAAAACGCCCGAAAACATCGAACCACTGGAGGCCGGAACGCCGCCGCTAGCCGATGAAAACGCCCGAAACCATCGAACCACTGGAGGCTGGAACGCCGCCGCTAGCCGATGAAGACGCCCGAAACCATCGAACCACTGGAGGCTGGAACGCCGCCGATGGCCGATGAAGACGCCCGAAACCATCGAACCACTGGAGGCCAGAACGCCGCCGGTGGCCGATGGAAACGCCCGAAAGCATCGAACCACTGGAGGCTGGAGCACCGCCGATCGCCGATGAAGACGCCCGAAACCATCGAACCACTGGAGGCCGGAACGCCGCCGATGGCCGATGAAGACGCCCGAAGCCATCGAACCACTGGAGGCTGGAACGCCGCCGCTAGCCGATGAAAACGCCCGAAACTGTCGAACCTGGAGTCCCCGCCCCCCACGGTGCCTCTGGCATGCCCCGCCCCTCCTTCCGTGACCGCTCGCCGCCGCTCGGGCGGCCCTTCCCCATGATCCCTGCCGGTGTCGTGCGTTTTTCTTTGCTCGCTGGGTGATCCTATTACCAGCCTCGAACGTATCCCTATCCCTAAGATTGGCACGCCAGAAGGCGATGACAATCTCAGGGATTCGCCCTCAAAAAATGAGGCAATCCCCAAGCTTGGCATCGTGACGAGGAGGTGCCCAGCCTAGGGATCGGGACATGTTCCAGGCTGGTGATCCTGGGCGCTCCGAGGTGGCCCAGGTTTTCTGGCGCTGGCCCTGCCGAGCAAAGCAGTGCACACGTCCGAGCGATGCCACGTGCCCAGCACCGCACTGTTGTTCCGACCGCACCCGAGGACGAGGGACTGGCGGCGAAGCGGGAGCAGGGCACTGCCGGTTCCGCGACGAGACCCCGACACACACACACACACACACACACACACACACACACACACACACACACACACACACACACACACACACACACACACACACACACACACACACACACACACACACACACACACACACACACGCACGCACGCACGCACGCACGCACGCACGCACGCACGCACGCACGCACACACACACACACACACACAGGCACACACACAGACACACGCACACACAGAAGTCAAACAACGCCCCCGACACGCCGCCTCGAGGAAGTGGCCGCCACCACTCATTGGACATACAGTGCGCGTGGCGTGACCAGAGACGGCCGCCGACACGAACGTGGCCAGGACAGCTCGAA